TGGCTACCTGAAGGAGCGCTTACGTCCATATATGCCCGCCCGCCCCCAGAGATCTGCGGCAGAGGCCCTTCTCCGGGAACCCTCCGTGAAGGAAATTAGGAGGGTAGGTACTCGGAGGAGGGCTTTCTCTGGTGGCGCCCAATCTATGGAATGCGCTCCCCAGAGAGGTCCGCCTGGCGCCGTCGTTATTTGTTTTTCAGCGCCAGGTGAAGACCTTTTTATTCAAGCATCATTTTAATTGCTAATATTATTTTTATTTTAAAGTTTTTTGGCCAGGGCGACTTATTTTATATTGTTAATTCGTTTTATATTTTTAGTGTATTATATTTTAATTGATGTTTTGTGAGCCGCCCCAAGGCTTCGGCGAATGGGGCAGCATAGAAATTTTCTAAATAAATAAATAAATAGGTAGATTCCATGGCAGGACCAATTTGTCTGTCTCCCTGTCCACTCGCATCCCTCCAAGATCAGGACCCTTTTTCAGGCATTGATACATTTGTCCCTGTCAAAAAAAATATGGGTAGACCAGTCCAAAGAGCCGTTTAAAAAGCCATTTGGCAGCCGTCAAAGCTCCATGCTCTCATGAAAGTGATTTTCCCAAGGGACTAGAGCATGGGCCCTCAAACTACGGCCTGTAGGCCGGATCCAGCCCACCATGCTGATTTATCCGGCCTGCCTCAGAGCTTTTGGACTTGCTTGGAGAAAACGATCTCCAAGTGAGTCCAAAAGCTCTGAGGCGGCACAGGCGTACTCAGTGGGGAGATGGGCGCGATTGCAGGCGCGCTCATGCAGGGAAGATGGGCGCAATCGCGGACGTGCTGGAGGGGGAGATGGCTGCAATGATGTCTGCCTTCCGTGCATGAACATGCCTGCGATCACGCCTGCCTTCCCTGCACAAGTGCGATCATGTCCATCTTCCCCCTCAGCACAATCGCAGACATTGTAGCTATGCCCCTTGAATATGGACATGCTCTTCCACACCTCATCTTGGGCTTCTGCTGCAGCCCAAGCAAGCGGAGCAAACATTTTTTAATTTTTAATTGTTTTTTAAATTTTAATTATTTTAATTAATGTTAATTGACTTTTAATGTGCAGTGTGCATAGGAATTTGTTCAGATGTTTTTCAAACTATAGTCTGGCCTCCCAGAAGTCTGAGGGACAGTGAACTGACCCCCTGTTTAAAAAGTTTGAGGACCCCTGGACTAGAATCTCAGGAAAAGTGGAAAAATGTGAGGAACCTGACAAGTGTCTGGTCCAAAGAAAAGCCCTAGAAAATCAAGTGGAGTGGGGAATCTATTAGTCTCCCCCTTTGGTTAGCAAAGATTCGGCCAGGACGTTCAGCCAGGACATCTCCAATTATATTGTTTTTATATGTTTAATATGTATTTATTTATTGTTGTGAGCCGCCCCGAGGCTTCAGTGAATGGGGCAGCATAGACGCTTACTAAATAAATAAATAAATAAATAAATAAGTGTTTGAGGTTTTGGTTTCTCTTGACAGCTCACCTTTTGACAGCTGTCAAGAGAAAGCAACATGAAAAGCACATCTCTTTACAGCTCCTCTGCCTCAGTGCATGTGATGGGTGCCTGGTGCTTTGCCAACAAACAGCACCGGGACATTGCCCAGACGAGGCTTGCCATTTCAGACCCTTGCCAGTGCATTTGTGCAAGTTCAACCAAAAAATTGACGAGAAACATTCAAAAACCTTTGGGCAGGTTTTGTTTGTGTGTACATGTTTTAAAGTGATGCACCAGCTTTGGCACTCTCATGCGTCCCACCTGGGGAGCCCTGGGGAAGAGTTATGTAAGAACCAGCTCTTCCCCTCAGAAGCTGCCTTGGCAATGAAGGTCTTCCAGTGTTGATGAAGCACTCCTGGTCTACTGGACCTGGAACTCTGCTCCTGTTTCCACCTGTGCTTCCAGACCCTGCCTGCACCTCCTCCTGCTCTGATCCTCAAGGTACCGGCTTTCCCTGGTTTGACTTGCCTTCCTTGGTTCTCTGACCCTCAGCCTGCTTTTGATGATGCTACGTTCTGTACCAACTTGACTGGTATCTTGACTCCCCGCTTGGACCTTTTGGACTGTGTACTGGACCTGCCCTTGCCATGCCCTGTCTGCCTGGGTCCCGGTGCCTTCATCTGCTAGTCAGTTGCCCCCACCCCAGATGGTGACAGTCATTCAGTGTGCAGTTACAGCCTAAGGTATATACCAGAGAAAAGGATATGATTCTTTCTCAAGTAGGACAACAGCATTGTTTCTGGATCAGCATTCTTCTCCATTATCTGTAAAAATGGAACAAGATCAAACTAATGCTTTTATTAGATATTTATTTTCTGTATTTTATTGTTGGTTGCTTTTAATATTGTTAACCTTGTTTTAATAAATAAATAAATAAAACCTCCCAGAATTTATATAAATGAACAATGAGATTTAAATAGAATTAAATAAAATAGTTACCATATTGAATAATCCTCAAGGGATTCATGTGTCTTTGCTTGGCAATTCTTTTTTAATTCCCTTCCCTTCAGACTTCCCTCTCCAGATGGGTGTGGCAGGACTCCCTCTCTACCCTTTCACTTCCTCTCTCTTTATGGTGATGCTTTGGCAGCCTTTTCTTTCTCCTCTTTTGTTTCTTCTCTATTATAATGACAATTTTCCACAGTAATTTTTAAAAATTAATAGGTTTTATGTCAGTTCATTCATAAGTATGGGTTATTCATAACTTGTATGTTCATAACTTGGGGACTGCCTATATACAATCCTGAAGGAGCAGCCTTTTCATCATTAGATCTCTTATACCTCTAGAAAATGGGATTTGGCTGGCATTGCTTTTCCTTTCAACAACACTGCAAGCAGTTGAAGATTATAGTAGCTGCTATTAAACTATTAATATTGAATAGGTTGGCTATCCTATGCATTATCTAAAAGCAATCCAAATAACATAGATATCAGAGACTGACAGCAGGTGTTTCTCAACAGTGGGCTTATACACCTAGCAATCAAAATGCATTTTGCAGCTATTCTATGTTTTTCTTATGAGTTTGTCTGCATCAAGAGAGATCAGAAGAAGTGATGAGAAACAAGAGGGTTAAAGATCTGAAGGCGACGTACAAGCACCTTGTAAAATGTTTCAAAAAGGGCAGGACAATGACACTTTGAGAGTACTCAGAATCCCCAAACTTAATCACACCATGGGTAGTTTCATCATTCAACTGAATCCATGAACAGCTAGCAGAATGTTTTTCCCTACTTATATTTCACAAGTATCTTGGCCAAAGAGAGCAAAAGCAAAAATAAGCCCCTGTATCTTATTAACATATAATTTAGAGGAGGGTGGTTGGATAATTGAATGTGGTAAGCATTTAAAACAGAAAAATAAAGTATTGAAAGTATGTTTATGCCACAGAAGGCAACTTTTCTTACGGATCACCCCATGCAAGAGGAAGAATGACTACCCCAGTTGCTAAGAGGCAGGGAAAAAGTTCCTTCGATTTCAGGATTGTGTCGCACAGTGAAGTCCTGAGGGTTGTTAAACTGACTGTACACCATTCCAAGGAGAACTTATATGGTTACTCTGGAATGGTGAGACGCTTGCCTTAGGTGGCAATTTTTACTGGATGCCAGTAAAGGCTGCCTCAATGTCATTTATGGTTTTTTCCTTTTTACAGCAAATGCATGGTATCCAATTTGACACTACTGTTAACATGAATTGCATTGTCCCAGCATAAACAACCTCTCCTGCATCACCAATTACATTTACTGCCATGATGGGTTTCCCCCCAAAAACCTGTTATGTTAGCAAATATTGTTCATTTTCTGTAGCACACTGTAGTTTACATTAACAGTAGTATTGAACTGGATACTGTCCAATGTGTACTGCCTGTACAGTATGCCTTGGATACTGAAATGTGCAGGACTGGCCCTGATCAAATTTCTGCTTATAGGAAAAGTAATCCCTAAAATGTATGAAAATTTTGGAGAAGACACGAACTACCCATTACCTTACAGAGGCTGGGATATATAGGTCTGAATATGTTGAGAGCTGTAGGCCTTTGCTCAGTGTAAACGTTCAAGATATTATGCAGTAGATGTTTTAATACCACCATGCTCAAAATACATGTATATGAAATCAAGTTTTAGAAAGTACTTGCATATTAAACACTACTGATTCCTGATTGCTATAAATATAATGCAACAAGTTTTGAACATAATTTAGCTATTTGTTTTACAATTAACAAACAACCAAGCATGAATATCAGTGCCACACATATTCAACAGCCCATACATTGTATTAGTTTGAAATAGTACAGGAAACCCCATCCCACTTCTAACAGTCCACAACTCTAATTAAATCATTTTCTTAAATCAAAATGCAGCAAGTTACACGTACAGGATTTTGTTAGCTAACACTTCCATTAATCCTTTGTAAATGACATACCTTTTTTTGATTAACGAAAAATAGTAGTTCATTAGATTCTCTAGTTGCATGGAGAGCCATGATAGAATCCCCAAAATGTAATTAGATAGGAAGACAAAACTCTTCTGTCCACTCTCAGGCAAATGATAAATGCATGATCTGATAACCATTTATCTACAGTAAGGGGAGGGCCTTATCAAGAAATATGGGTGGAGACAGATGGCGGCTGACAAGGGCAGAAGCTGGTAGAAGTATGGCCTTGCTAAGAGTTTGAAACTTTTTATTTTTAATTTGAACCATTTAATCATGCACTAGCCCACTAGCCAGTCCTGATACCACTAGCAGTCCTGATAATGGTAGATGGCCTATTGTCCAAGCAATCAGTGAGGCAGATTGTTCAATATAGCATTCTCTCTTAAATCTTTTGTTTCCAGTTTTGAAAAAGTGCACAAGAGTCAGAAGCAGATGTTTCAACTTCCAACACTGAACTGTATCTTTCAGGAAGTGTGAATCTTTTTTCCTTGAATTAGCAACACTCTACCTTGCTCTTACTCAGGCCCTACCCCAGGGGTCCTCAAACTATTTCAACTGGAGGCCAGTTGAAAGGTGCTGGCAATGGGCATGGGCCGCCAAGGTGGTGCAGGCAAGGGGTGTGGGCCGGACCGGACCGGAGTGGGGGGGGGCACGGAGAGGCACCAGCTTACTTGCAAGGACATCCTTTTCTCCGAGCGAGTCCAAAACGATCTCCGTACGAGCAAGCTGCCGCCTCGTCACATGCATGTGTGCGCATGCACGGCGAGGCCAAAACCTCTATGGAGGGGTGGATAAATGGGCATGGTGGGCCGAATCTGGCCCACGGGCCATAGTTTGAGGACCCATGCCCTAACCTGTTGAGACTTCCTCCTCCGGCTGTTGACTGAAGACTATGTACAATGGGCAGGAGACTCTTCTAAAGGAGCCATCCCACAAAGAGAAGGGCCTTCTCGGTGACTGCCCCCCCTTATGAAATGAGCTCCCCAGAGAAATTTGCCTAGCACCATCATTACTCTCTTTCCAGTGCCAAGTGAAAACATTTCCCTAGGCATTTTAACAATAAATTTTAACAATACATTTTGAGAACTAATTTTAATGTCTGTAACAATGTATTATCTCATGGTTGTCTCCCTACTGGATTTAATGGTTTTACTGTAATGACTTGTTGATTTATGATAGTTGTTTTTATGGACTGATTGTTTTTATTAGCTTTCTTTTTAAAATGATGGTGCAAGTGTTGCAAGAGGCCCAAAGATTCCACTTGGAATAGGGGGCGGCATACAATTGTAATAAATAAATGACAGAGCATGAACCCCACTGAACTCAGTTAATTTTTGTTTTAACCTGCTTCGAATGCACATGTTTAGAGGATTGCAGTGACGACACAAGGAAAATCACAGGAGATTAAGGTTCAAGTACCCCTTGCCAACTAACTGGATGCCGAAATGAGGGGGAAAAACAAACCAGGCAAAGCCCTCCCCGGTTCTTCCAAAGCGCCTCGTCCCTGAAATCGGTAACATTTGTGTTTATTGCTATAGTTACAGCTATTGCTAGCAGCAGCATTTTGCCACTGTCGGGGGGGCACGCTACGTGCTGTCACAACGAGCGCTCCCGCGCGCCCCCGCCCCGTCGGGGCGGAGCAGTTACAGCCGACACCCCCGCGGGAGGAACGCGGCGCACAGCCCTGCCCGCCTCGCCTCCCCCGCCAGAAATGGCGGCGGCCGGGCAGCGCGAGCCTGGACGCGAGGGGGCGGGGCCTCTCGCCGCCCTGCGTGACCGGGGGGCGGAGCCGGCCCGAGCTGCGAAGGTAACGGACGGCTCAGCAGAGGGGTGTCGCCGTCGCTTCCGGGTTTCCCCTCCCAGAGGAAGCCGCCGTTCGGCGCCGGTGGCTCCGCGTTCGTCACGCCTCTCCGCCGCCTTTTCCCGGTGGCCAAACGACGGCGCGGCGGCGGCGGAGTGGGGGGCTGGGGAGGAGGGAGCCGCTGGTTCAGGCCTTCTCTCTCCTTTCGTCCACGTTCCGGGTTGGGTGCTCTGCTCGGGCCCCTCATCTGTTGCCAGGAGCGGAAAATAATAGGAAATAATGAGGAGGAGGTGCGCGTCTTTTCCACGGGCGGAGACCGGCTGGGCTGGGCGTGGCGGGGGAGAGCAGAGCTGGGCGACTCGCCGCGCAGGCAACTTGCTCAGGCATTCGCCCTCTTGCTTTGCGTGTTGGTACCGTTTAACTCCGCAGGAGTTTCTTCTGAATAGTCGTGCCTGGGGCTGGGCTGCGAGCCTCCCTAAATCGCCATTGCATTCTGGATTGTGGAGTTCTTCCTACCCAGCAGCGTTAGTTAACCCCCGCCCCCCTCCGGTCTGTCTGGTTTTGTTTTGTTTTGCTTAATGTCTAGAAGACATGGTGTTTTCGTTCACTGGGCACCTGTTTAGCCTTATTGACAGTGTTAGTAGGTGTCTAGGGGTGCTTCCTTTTGTGACTTTCTGGGCACCATTGATCTGGCACATACATAGAAGTTGGCAAATGCGGTTCTCCGTACAGTGATGCACACTGGGGCAAAAGATCTCAACTTCTTGATAATGAGATCTGAGCTAGAAGTGACTGATCAAGATGCAGATCTTGGGGTCGTAGTAAGGCAGATCAATGACAGCATCCATCCAGTGTGTAGCTGCTGTGAATAAGGCAAATTCCATATGTGATGTAATTAAAAAAGGAAAATGAGCAAGAGTATATTGCCCTTAAATGTATGGCGTGACTACACACTTTTGGTCACTGCACCTATGAAAGGATATTGCAGAGTAGGGAAAAATGCAGAACAGAGCACTTAAGGATGCTTACATATATCCAACGCATGGACCAAGGTGTGGTAGGAGTGCCTTGGACTGTGCATTTGATCGCATTCATTCATTCATTCATTCATTCATTCATTTATTTATTTATTTATTACAAGCATTTGTATCCCATCCTTTTGCTGGAGTGCTCAGGATGGCTTACATAGTATAAAATTTCAGTAATACAATAATAAAACCACAATTATTAAAACATCTAAAATTGAACATTATAAACTAAAAAATAAGAATGGAAAAATAGGAAGTGTGACTGTGAAAACAAAAAGAAAACAAAAAAAATCTTAAAATGTCTAAAACCCTTAATTGTGAAAATGATGGTTAAATAAAAAGGTCTTTACCTGGTGCCAGAAGGAGTATAACATCGGTCCCAGGTGGACCTCTCTGGGGAGCGCATTCCTAAATGACAGTTTTGGGCCATCTTTATGAAGCCCTAGGTAGGGGGAATCCCAGTTAATTGGCATTGTTCTTTATGCAATTGTTGCAAGGAAGGACAGGATGAGGCCTTGGCTTTCAAAGTCCCAGCTCAGGTTGTAGGACTTTGGATCTGGGGCTCCAAAGTAACCTATGGCAGGGTTAGGATTGCACCCTAATATGATTTGGGGCTAAAACAACTCTTCATAGACATTTCTAATATTTTATTTATTTATTTATTTATTTAAAGTTTTTGTATGCCGTCCCCTTGCTATATAGCCTTGGGACAGCTCACACAAATAAATATCATACAAATACAAAATTAAAACCCGGAAACACCCCAGCTGCACAATTAAAACCTATAAATATTACACATTGTTAAAATACTGCTTGAATAAAAAGGTCTTAGCCTGGCACCGAAAAACAAATAACGGTGCCAGGCGGACCTCTCTGGGGAGCGCATTCCACAGATGGAGCACCACCACAGAGAAAGCCCTCCTCCGGGTACTTTGCTTCCTGATGTCTCTCCCAGAGGAAGGCCTCTGCTGCCAATCTCAAGGGGCAGGAGGGCAAATATGGAAGCAGGCGTTCCTTCAGGTATCCAGGTCCCAATATGTGGAACTATTTAGTGTAGAAAAGAGACAAATAAGAGGAGACATGATAGGAGAATACTGTATAAAATTATGCAAGTTGTGGAGAAAGTGGATATGGAGACATTTTTTTCTTCTTATAATAATAGGGCCTGGGGTCATCCCATAGTTGGTGGGAGGGCTCAGAAAGGATAAAAACAAGAACTTCACACTGAATATAGTTAAACTAGGGAATTGATTTCTACAAGATGTAGTGATGGTCACCAGATTGGATGGCTTTAAAATAGTTTGGACAAATTCATGGATGAGTCCTGATGGCTGTATACTGCCTTCTGTATCAGAAGCAGTATGTCTGCATACAGCAATTGCTGGGGAACATGGGTTAGGGGTGCTACCCAAGGGCAGTTGGTTGGCTATGTGAACAGAATGCTAGCCTTGATGGACCATGTTCTGATCCAGCATGTAATTAATTGCTAGCCCTAGGAGTCCTCCGTCTTGAGAATTGTAAATGACATCTTCCATATGTAACCCTCCTGTGTTTTTCTGTCACAGTCTTCTCTCTTTTTACCACAGAAAATGCTTTAGAGAGAGAGAGAGAATGTTAGTGTCTTATAATGGGTAGTGAAAGGAGCCATCTATCTAGAAGCACATTTAAGCCTTTTATTATTTATTAATTAAAATATCGATAAACCATCCTTTCTTCTTGGAAATGCTAAAGTGGCATCTGATAGGAATGACTATAAATTGTCATCTAAAAACATGTTTTATCAGCTCCAAAGTGTTCTCCCTTATTTGTATGAATTTTTAGTTGTAACAAAGGTCTTACGCTACACAGGAATTGAATTTGGGACCTTCCGCATGCTACGGTCTCTATTCTTTCTATGCAGTGCCATCTTACTCTGCATCTTTACTCAAAAGTGAATACTGCTGAGTTTAGTTGGTGCTATTCTGAACTAAGGAAATATGCATGTTATTGCAGCCTGAACTTCTCACAGCTCAGACACTTCCAGTACTACCAATCAATAGATGAGTGTCTGTTTTGTCTGTTTCTCTACATCTGATACTTTGTGGGGAGAAAAAACAAAGCAGCAGCAGCAATGGGGAGCACAGGAGGGTTACAAAATGGGAAAAGACGTCTGGATGGCCTTCCCCAACACTGTTGAATGAGGAAGGAGGATTATATAATAGATGCCTCATCTGGAAGCCCCTTCAGTGTTTGGGATTGTGCATTGAATAGTTACTTTCATAGGATATTGGACAAAGCAATAGAACCTTGGGTTAGCATGAACAATTCTTGTAATACATCATGCCTTATGGGCAGATTTCCATCTCCAATTAAATGTTAAATGAGCAGGAGGAAAGAGAGACTTAAGTTGAAAAGTCCTCATTATTACAGGGTTTAGTTATAAGAGGAAATTGGTTTTGAGGAGCTGTGCAATATTAACTTGAAGTGCCTGCAGTTCTTGTCATATAGCCAGCTATAATTATTGCTGAATGTGTAGAAGCAGATTTTGTGTTTGTTTGCTTTTCCTGAAACCCCCCTCCCCCCCCACACACACAATTATGTAGACTGATTCAGGAAATCAGTCACATTATGTTGATTGTACAGTAGTGTTAAGTTCTTGACCTGCAAATGCTTCCAGTTTTCAGTATATACTGAAATGCTTAAGTTTTAATGTTAATTATAGGTGGTGGGATTTTCAGTTCTGTATTATGGACATCTTTAGTCTATTTGACTGTTTTATTGTAATGGTAGAGACAAAAAACTTGAACTACTACAATTTAAAGGTGTTATATCCACTAATGGAGGTAGTGTCATCATCCAGCCCTTTGCTGCTTACCTGCAAAATTCATTATATCTCCCTCTCACAGGAATTCCTGGTTTGCACCACTAGATTCCTTACTGGGCATCTTTTACATCCATGCAATTGCCCTTTCCTTGCTAGAACAGGTTTAAGTGTCCTTACACAGAAATGAGAGGAAACACCAGGGCACCAAAAGTATTCCTTTTTGGTAGTTGTACAAACTGGAACACTAATATTTTTCTTATTTAATGACCTTGCATATAATTTTTACAACTCTTACAGGTTTGAAAGTAGAAAATCCAGTCGGCATCATTAGTTGCAACTAGAATGGAGAACAGCAAAAGTGAAGAAGTGGTAGATATTATTCACCTTAATGTTGGAGGTTATATATATACTGCTAGGCGTGAATCTTTATGTCGTTATAAGGAATCAATGCTAGCATCTATGTTCAGTGGACGGTTTCCTCTAAAAATGGATGACTCAGGTAAAAAACATAAATTGTAAATAGCTTAAAGTTGAAGATCTGTTGAAGAGGGTTCATCAGAGGGAAAAGAATTCATTATACACGGGCATTGAGTTAGGAGGGCCAATATCTATACAACCAACAAGTGCCAGATTGTTTCTGTTTACTTAACTTTTGTGTCACAATAAAAATATTTTACACCTTCACAGTACTGAGGATTTTGTGTACATCAAGTGCTAAAAATGCCAATTTAATCCATTTCAGTTCCCAATTTTGAGACAACAACATATGGAAAAGTCAAAGTGGGGTGAATTCCCATTGCAAGGCACTGTATGGCTTTTAAACAATCTTTATTCTACTACTAAGGAAGATATGCTGGAATATGTTTGCATGATGATTTGATAGGTTGGAGATATTTATTTATTTCTATGCTGCCCAATAGCCAAAGATCTCTAAGTGGTTTACAACAGTTTAGTTACAATAAATCACACACCTTTATTAAAGTATATTTCAAGAGTATGGGGTTATTTTGAACTAAAGAAACATTCTGCTGTAGTAGTTAGAATACTGGACTAGAATTAGGCAAACCTGGCTTCAGATATTCATTTAGTCATCAAGTTCAGTGAGTCATTTTGGGCCAGTCACATTCTCAACCTAACCTGTCTGACAAGGCTATTACGAGAGTAAAAAGAGGTGAAAAAACCTGTTTACTGTCTTAAGTGGTATACCCTGGAGAAAAAGCAAGATAAACCTATAAAAAACAAATACTTTTATTTCCCTTTTCAGGAGCATGCCTTATTGAGCGAGATGGCAGCCTTTTTAAATACCTCTTAGATTACCTTCATGGAGAAGTTCGGCTTCCAGAAGACAAGCAGACACGACTTGCATTGCAGGAAGAAGCAGATTACTTTGGCATTCCTTATCCTTGCAGTCTTGCTGATCATTTGGCTAATGAAATGGAGACATACTCCTCAAGATTAAATATAGAACTTAAAAAGGTCTTGGAATTTTCTTACACTTGTAAAGTTTAGTGTGTTAGATGGACAAGCAGAGGGTTAGCAATGGGTCCTGCCTCTAATGCTGGAATACGTACCACCTTTACTCTTATAACGGAGTTGGGATCATTTCCTCAGTTTATTGTGTTCAGGATGTCAGGGAGTGGGTGAGAAGAGTAGTTAAAATGCAGATGGCCATTTAAAAGACTAAAGTAAATGTAGTTTAATGTTGGTGTTATATCTTGCAATGTCCTCAGTCCAGTAGTATAAAATACTCCATATGTTTTGAAATTCTGTATAGGTTTAATCAGAATATTACAACAATAGTATAAAGTATTCAGTACTGCATTTGAATTACACTGTTTTCTCTAGAACAGTTATAACATAGTTGAACGACAAGCCTCTGCAAAAATCTTCTCTTCACTGTTATATTCAGTAGATTACTTTGATCATCCAGAGTAATACTCCGACTAAAAAGGTGTTACATTATACTCTGTTACTCAGAGTAGAAGCAATAAGAATGCAGTCCTATGCATATTTGCTTTAGGGTAAATACTGCTGATAGTGGAATTTGTGACTAGATAGACATATGATGAGGTTGTACTCTTGTACTATTTTAAAAAAACCAAATATGGAAAAATATCTAAGATATCACATAACTATGTTATTTGACCTTGTTTATATATCTGTATCTTTTTTCCCAGGTACTCACTGATTTTTGTGACTCTTATGGTTTAATATGTTCTAAGCCTACAGTTTGGGTCTTACACTATCTCAACAGTTCGGGTGCAAGTTGTGAGAGTAGAATAATTGGTGTATTTACCACAAAAGCAGATGGTACAACTGCAGTTGAAAAGGAACTGGGAGGAAGAATTCATAGTAAAAATATATACAAGAGGTGAGAATCTTCACAGCCACAGACAGTATCCTTAGGCTTACTATCCGTCAGTAACAAATCACATTGGACTAATAGGAGCAGGAAGTTAGTACATCATAGTGCAACACAAAGACTAGCTCAAACTTGCTTCTGGAATAGGTCAATGAAACTCCCTTCTTAGCATCACTGAATTGTCCCAATGCAGAAGCATTTGTCTACTTCCTTGTTGCTCTGTGAAATACTAACTTTTGGTTACACTAACACTTGTCACTGCTAGTGTAAGGGCAGCACTGACATTGCCATGTATAGTTGTAATTGAGTTAATTTGTGAAAAACTTGTATTTTCTTTCTAGAGGATACTTACACATTTATAAAGATCCCTTTGCACATCTCTGTCTAGTGTGCTTTTGGAGTTCAGAAATGTTTAGTTATATAAATTCTCTTGGGTTGCACTATTATTCTCGCTTACCTATGAGTAAACCATTGCACTTAATAGAATTTACTTCTGAATAGACAGTTCTAGGATTTTCTGTTAGTTAATATAAATAATTTAATATTAAATACTCTGGGTCTTAACTAGTTGTAAGGAAAAACAAAGACCAGGAATGTCTAAATACATCTCTCCCAGAAAATGAATTTAGATCAGGGGTCTCAAACTCAACTTACCTGGGGGCCGCTGGAAGTAGAGTCTGGGTGAGGCTGGGCCGCATCAAGTATTCCACCACCACGGTGGGGGTGGGCCACTCATCCCGCGGCCGGCCTGGGCGCTGCCAGCACTTTGAAGACCGCAGGGCCCCTCCCCCGTGCCCTGCCCGTCCCAGCAATTGGCCCACAGGCCATGAGTTTGAGACCCCTGATTTAGATATTTGTAAGAGAATATTCAGAAGTGTCTGATATTGCATCCCAAACCAGCTCTTTATTTGTTGTGTACTTTGTTAGTTTTGATCTTGGTACACAAAAAGCAAGTAAAGGAAAATTAAAATACTGCATTTCTTCAATGTTCTGCACTCGTGCTCTAATCTAGTGCAGGAGTATGCTTTTTTGAATAAATGAAATCACTGAAGCTTAAGCAGTCAGAGGCCTTTGAGACTAATGCTAGTGTGGTTGTCTCTCCTTTGACAGAGTGGTTTATGATTTGTTGTTAAACTTCCCATCTGTTTTAGAAAAATAGTGGTTTCCATGTTTCTTTATGAAGTAAAATTTCATAGCAGTGGCACATTACACACACATGCTGTAGTTTTATATATGTGCAGATACAGAGTATGGGGGAAACCTGTATACAGCCATAAGAATAAATGTCTATAATCACATGATTCTTTTAAGTATAAAGAATATTCCCCCAGTCTGCTGAAAAACTTTAAAACAAATTATTATTGGTTTAAAATAATATTGGTTATTATATTTAAACAATTGTGCTTTAATTGAAAGCAATAAAATCAAGAACTTTAAAAATATACAAAATTGCATATTTTAAAGGACTAAATTGAAAATATGCCTCTCTTTACCATTTCCAAATGCATAGTTCTCGAGGGAGCGAATTCCATATTTTGAAGGAAAGATCGGAGAAAGCCTGTTCACGTGTGCCTAACAACCGGCCTCTCCTGTATAACTTTATACCCAGGCAAGTTTATAGTGAGACAGGCAGTCCCTTACATAGTCAGACATTTGAGGCTCTAAAGGTTAGAACCTTGAATTGCACCCATAAAGGACTGGGCAACCAATGCAGCCCTTTTCTGACTCAAAATGATCCCAATAGCATGTACCAGTTAGTAATCCAACTGCCACATTTTATACCAGTTGAAAATTCTTGACATTGTTCATGGGTAACCCAATGTAGAGCACACTGCAATAATCTAAACGTTGATGCTTTACATTATACAAAGTTGTAGGTTTTTTTAAATTTTTGCTATAACTGTTTCAGACATCAGCAGATTTCAAATTTGCAAAGTAATGTGATTTCTTTCTACCATTTTCTTTAGAGAAGCTGGAAGCAATGTCCAATACATCTGGAGTTATTATTCAGTCACCGAATTGAAAAAGATGTTGGATGCCTTTGAGTCATGGGAAGGGAGAGGTATATTGTTTTTAAATGGTATTTTCTTCAAAAAATATACGTATTTATCCTGAATTAAGTGTCAATTACTGAAGGATTATTAGGGTTTGTTTTCAGTTCTCCCTGAAAGAAATCCATAAAGGGATAGTCTGATAAGCTGTGTTTGGTAGGAAATCTTGAGTTTGGCAGAATCCTGTGTTATAGCAGTATTAATTTATTTAAAAATGTATACTCTGCTTAAATTAGTTCCATGGGCTCTTAGCAACTGGTTTTTCCTTACAGTTCTACAGGAGCTAGGATAGATACATATCAGATACAGTGCAGACATATATTTTTGGAATATCATTAAAAGTTTGTATATTTATTTTGAAAGTCAAGAGAAAATTTTTGCAGACAGTTTGCATTCAATTGTACTATAAATGTTCTAGAGGAAACATAGTGCTGTGGTGTGGCATGGTGGTTAAAGTGTGGGGCTGGTTACTTTGGAAAACCACCAACTAGTCTCCATTTGCCATGGAGCTCACTGGGTCAGTCATTTACTCTCAGTCTAACCTACCTCACAGGGTTGTAGTGAGGATAAAATGGAATGGGGAGAACTATATAAGCCTCCTTGGGCTCCTCACAAGAGGAGCATAAGCAGAATATAAATTTCCTGAAGTAGGAAAAATGGTTCAGGAATGAAGGATGTTTTACCCTAGTGATGCAGTTACCAAATAGAGCATTATAATGAACTCTTGAAAGATACCTGGTAACCAAATGAGCTAGCTGGTCACTGACCAAGTCTTCGATGATATTGACTGTCTTGCAGTCAGGTGTTATGCCTAGTTCCAGGGTCTGAATGTTTCTCTTGGTTCTCCTAGAGTTCCCAATAGCTTCTGATACCATTGACCATAGTATCCTTTTCAGGAGGCTGTCTCCATTATTTTACAGAGCTTTTGCTCTTATTTTGGTGGCTGGTCCAGAAGGTGGTGCTGAGTGACTCTAGTTCTGCCCAGTGGAGACTCTTTTGTGGTGTCTCTCGGGGTTCAGGTGTTGCCCTATGCCTTCTAACAACTTCATGGAACAGCTGGGAAAAGTTGTCTAGGGGGAAGGAGGGAAGCATCACTGATATGCAGATGACACTCAGTTCTACCACTCCTTTTCATTAAATGTAGGGGAGGCAGGGATTATCCTGAATCAGTGTTGGCCTTACTAATGGCCTGGATGGGGACCAATAAATAGGAACTCAGTCCATACAAGATGGAGGTTCTGTTCTGTTCATCTGTCCAGTTAAGTGACATTCAACCTGCTCTAAATAGAGTCGCAACCTCAGCCCCAGAAGGAGCAGGTTCGTAGGCCAGGGGTGATTATAAATCCAGCTCTGTCACTTGAAAAAGCGAATGGCTTCAGTGACTCAATATGTTTTTTTATCAGCTTTAGCTAATATACCAGCTACAAGCCAACCTGAATAAAGATAGCTTGACTACCTTTATCCATCCACTAGAAACTTCCCACTTGGGTTATTGCAACATTTTATATGTGAATCACCTCTGAAGATGGGTGAAATCAGAGCACGGAGCATTCTTGTGGATGAACACCTTAATGTGGTGAGGGGGGTTTGAGAGTGTCAGAGAAGTCAAGAGCAATGCTGCAAGGAGACCAGACTGTCTCACTAGTTTGGTCTCCTAGTAGCAGCATCCAAAGCAGAATGGTCAAAGGTGAGTCACACCAGACTGAGATACATCCATTGTCTTGAGGAGTAAAGGTTATCTCAACAGAAGAGAACTGAATCAAATCAATTAGAACTTGTGGAAAACTTACCAACATAAACCATCATTCAAGTCTGTGCTCCAGCAACAAATGCCAAAGAAAAAGAAATTGAAAACTTTTGTGCAAGCATCCAAAAGGAAATTGATAACACATCAAAACAAGACAATGTTGATATATGTAACTAGAAACCACAACAACTAAAGATTGGAAAAATAAGTTGGGAGAGTATGCAGTGATGGCAAAATTAACTAATTATGTAAATAGAAGACCGATTGAAAAAATTAATGACAAATGGAAATTCCGTTATACCCAGTATAATTAATAGGATGTAAAAGAAAGCTCTTTAAAAAGTAGTTGATAATTTATAGTTGATTTGAAGCAATTGGAAAACATTTATTGGTACACACTACAGAATAATAACTCCTTTTTTCTGAACTTCCATAGAGTATTGAATGATAGAAAGATAGATATTTTTGCTCTCTTTGAAATGTGTGGGCTTGATTGTATTGGTTATACTTGTTCAAACTCCCTTGGCAAGTTATATATTTATACATCCTTCTTCTGTATTCCATTCATATCAACAAAACAATAAAAATAATACATATAAAGAAAAAGATCACTAATAGAAGCATAGTGCCAAAGTAGAATTTCAGTAATATTCCTGAAGAATTTAAAGTTCGCACAGAATAGATTTGCATTACTGAACTCAGTTGACCATAAACTAGAAGGACTGTGAACTGCAACCAGAGATGCTATTCGGGAAGAATGCAAAAGGAAAATTCCTGTAGCAAAAAGAAAAAGCCTAGATAGATGGCAGACAAAACACTAAGGACAGGCAAGAAGCAGAAGGTGACAGAACTAGAGTCAGAATTCTGAATGCAGCTTTTCAGCAACTGTCACATGGAGACAAAAAGAAAGATTATATTGGCCAGTGAAAAGAAATAGAACTACAAAAGAGGGAAGACAAGAGACCTCTTCCAGAAGATTTAAGAAATCAAATTAAATTCAAACCCAGATTTAGGGATGCTGAAAGACCAACAGGAGCATAGTAACTGTCTTGGATAAAATAAAGAGAAGATGGAAAAATATGGAAGATTGATACAGAAAAGATAAAAAGATAGATTCCTTCAAAAAGGAACCCTATGGGGAAGAACCTACAGCATTAGAAATTCAAGTAAAAGTTGTTTTGAAAGCATTTGGAAGGAATAAAATACCCAGAGTAGATAGGGTACCAATAGAACTATTCCAAGCTGCAGAGACTAAATCAGTCCAAATACAAACAAGAATATACCAATAAACAAAATACCAGCACTTTTGTGAAGAACAGAACATTTTGGAGGGAAATCTTTTATAGAATCAGCACAAGTCAGAAACAACAGTACATAGCAAGGAACAATAAATCCAGTGACCCTATTGGAACTGGGATATTAATGAGTATGTTACTCCAGTGCTATGTCAACTGAACTGGTTGCTAGTCAGTTTCCAGGATCAATTCAAAGTTTTAATGCTGACCTCTCAAACCTTAAAAATGTTAGGACCAGTCTGTCTGAAGGAGTGCTAAGATTGTTTTTTGTCAGGTTGTTACTGCTCACAGTAGTATACTATGTGGTTACCAGGCAAAGAAACATCTCCAGTGCCTGCCCTGCAATCCCCCCAATGCACTTCCCAAGGAAAACTGCCTGGCATATTCATTGTAGACATTTATATGCTAGATGGAGATCTTTTCCTTTAATCAGGTACCTAAACTTTAATCTATTGCTTTGTTAATCTTAACTGCTGGCTGCTCATATGTTGGCCACTTAAATACTTTCAGTGTTTAATATTCTATTATTTTGAAACTTGTATTATTTTTCTCTATTTATTTTCCTGTAAATTATGTAAAAATCATAAAAATATTATGATTGTAAATTGCACAGTTGGGTGGTATGTATGACAGTGAGTTTTGTTAAAACAGTTCCAAATATGACATTTGTCTGGGAATACATTGTGAATAATGTATCTGAAATTACAAGGTGTCAGTTACTGGCGAGTACCACAGGAACTAATAGAATGTTGGACTCTTGAAGAACAACCTTTGAAAGGAAATGTGGAAAACATGTCACCAGTTTGTAAAAGGTACATCCCATTAATCATGGTTGTAGAAAACTCCATGTGTAGCAGAGACTATTACTGTGTTTTATTTTAAAAATAGCATTGCCACCCCTTAGAAGAAATAGGCATGTATAGTTTGATATCCTACTAATATTGGTATAAAATGAATTTTAAACTTATGTAGAAAAGTCAAATTGAAAACTACAATCTTGTAAATGATAAGGCCTTCATCTGTGAATGTCATACAATAGGAAAATACGTAAATTGTAACAATGGAATCCACATATATTCATGTGATGGTCTACTTGCTATGTATTACATAGATCAGTGCCAGGCCAGTCACTAGCCCATTGCATGGCATAATTATAAGCACAAAACAGAACAACTGAAAATAGTCTGTAGTGAATATTGGATAATAAATGTTTTCTATATTTGAGCCAAATAAAACTGGTTCCAACCAGTATGTTGTCCTGGTTATTATCATTGATGGCTGAATATACATATTTGAATAATTATTCAGTATGCTAGAATAAAAGGAGTCTAGATTAGGAAGGAGGCATTTTCGATTGTGTTGAAGTTATGGTCTGCACAGAATTCCCCTAAGTATTAGACTCAGTTAATTTCTTTTATTTATAGGCGTATAATAGACCTTTCCGAAGAGGAAGACAGTCAACTGACCAATAGAACAATTCGCAGACCAATTCAGTTTTCTGGTCCCTCAACAAGTACCCGCATCAAAGTGAAGAACTCTGCTTCATTAAAAATAGTAGGTCCTACGTCTTCACATTCCCAGGTTATGCTCAAGAGACCTTGCAGAGAAAGATGTTTACCATGCAAAGAAGTATCAAAGAAAGTCTGTGGAAACTCCTCCTCATTGCCTAAAAACTCTTCGGCATCTGTTAGGGACACTGAAGATGAAGTGGTCTGTCAAAGGACCCTGAAAGCCCCCTTGCCCAAGAAGCCTGTAACCAATCGTGTAGTGAAGCTGAAGCGAATGCCACTCTGTAATGAATTATTGACACAACACTCTTCATCAGCACTGAGCAAGGTGACTGAGCAGCAAGTTCCATTGGTTGCAGTTGCTTCCACTTCTGCATCTCCAAAGTTTAATGAAGAGGACTTTGGGGTCCCCATGAAAAGTATAAATGTTAAAAATCATTTACCAAATAACCAGCTGGAGGATGAAGTATGAGGTTTATATGTGGACTGAGTTACTATCTTTGAAAGGCAAAATTTCTGATCTTAAGTGAGAAAACAAATGAAAGTGTCACACAGATTACATAGAATTCGGAAAGCCATTGACCTTTTTAATAGGTCAATTAAAGTATGAACAGTATACTTTTTCCAGTGTGCAGCACAAGGGGTACATGGAAATTTTTTATTCTATAAATGGATGTAGTCTGCATTGGTCATTTCTTACATTATCAAACGTGGGATGGTAGCCAATTTAATATATAATTTATGCCAGACTCTATGTACTCTGTGCTTTAAAAAGTCCAATTATTGTTCTTGATATACTTTTGTATAATTCTGGAATTACTACTTTTTGTGTAACTTATTCCTCAGCTACTTGTGGACAGTGGTGAAGGGCAAGAGAGGGCATTGAAACCTTTTTCCACAGTGCTAGAATTCTGACTGAGCAGTTCTCAGTATCTGGTTTTCAACAGGAATTACCCACATAATTTCAAGCATATCTTTGTGAATGTTAGGGTTTACAAGCGGCTTTAAAAAGCTTAGATTCTTGGATTCTACAAGCATTACCACATTATTTTGCTTTTCCATTATTTCCATGCTTCCATGAAATCACATGTGCAGCAGTGTAAATATATGTCTGGGATGATAAAATAGAAAGGACTTCAATTTAGCCTGCAATGATATTATTCCAGTCACCAGGGGAAAAAAAGATTTGACAACTTCTACAGGAACGTGGTTGATTTCTTCAGTGCTTCTTACAGGTAGGACCCTTTCTGATAACCAGCTGTGAAACAACCATGACCTTTGTTGCAGTAATGTCACTTAATGCATTTTCCTTGCCATTTCTTAATGGCCTTGTAAGCAGTTCTTTGTATTCTTGAAGTTTCCATTCCTTAGTCATTGCTGCCAATGATCAGTCCATGTCAGCTTTCATTTTCTGCTCCAAATCCCCTCAATTTTGTGCTCATCTTAAAATGTGATGATTAGAATGCCAGTGATCCTTCCTAGTGTCAAATGCAGCAATAGCATTATTCATGCTGCTGTTAATGACAATCTCTTTAATTTCCCCCTTAATATAGTATTTCATACACAGTAATTTAACATTGTAGATTGTAGCTTCAGTTTAGGCTAATTTGACTTTTAATCCTTAACCACGTTAAGCTTTCCCCAAGCTTTTGGTGTTCTTGGAGATTCGATGAGCTGCACTTTCCAATATATTAGATTGGTTTTTTGGATAGGCTATGGAATATGACTTGTAATTTTCTTTAACCTCTCGCACTGACTGCACAGGTTGTCATGAAACCAGTATTTGGTATTTCAGTATGATGTTTTTGCCTTTTGGATAAAAGCCCCGAAGTGAAATCAGTTTGTTGAAAATGTGCTAGGAGACAGTCCCAGCACGTACACCATCTGGAACTTGTGCACATGTTCCATTTGTCTCTGAGGATTTGTCTTCTGTTTAAGTAATTTGTGGCAGTTATTGTAAAGCACTGGATTATCAGCATAACTGTGGACTGGTGCCTTCACAGCATCAGTTGTGAGGAGCACTTCATAATTTACATAATAGTACATGTGTTGACAATGAATACTGGGAAGTGGTGCTCCACAAAACATTTGAGTCATTTTTTTTCTAATTACAGTTATTGTAAAGGAGCACTCCTGCACTTCTCAATTCACCCAGAGGCAAGCCTTCACCCTCAGTGTTTGCATGTAGATTGTGAGGAGATCTCTCTCTCTCTCTCTCTCCCTCTCTCTCTCCCTCTCTCTCCCTCTCCCTCTCTCTCTCTCTCTCTCTCACACACACACACACACACATTTACTTTGCAGTTAAGAATCTTCAGAGTTATTTTCAGCCTAGAACTGCCTAAAACCAAAACTTTACCGTATTGAAAGAAGAGCTTAACAAACTGACTATCAAACGATAGAAAATTTTGACTTTGGAAGGAAAACAGAGCTGGAATCATGCAAATTGAAGGATATGCCAGAGCGCCAGAACCACAAATCAGGGCTATGAAGGGCCTCCGCAGTAGATCTTAATTATTGGGAGGCAGTTTTCCCAGAAATTATCAAGACCCCGGCTATTGACTGCTTTGAACTAGACCATAAACCAATCAGTATTAGTATAGCTACTATACAATATTATATGAAACAATCAGTCCTTTGGCCACTAGATTGTTCCTGTAGACATTTCCAAACTGTCTTGAAAGGCAGACCCAGCTAGACTGGGTTAGAACAGTCCAGTCTGAAGGGAACCAAAACATGTATGACAGTGGCAAGGTCTCTGGCTTTACATAACAAATGTAGCTGCTGTATCAGCCCAAGCTAATAAAAGGCACCATGGAGCACAACTGCAAGCTGAGAGTTCAGAAGCAATGTTAGTTCAAACAGTACTCAAAATTATAAATTTAGACCTTTTATGAAAAAGTAGTTCCCATCCAGAACAGGTGTTTCTGAACGAGCTCATCTGAGTTTTCTCACAATTGTCTCTCTCTCACCTTTGCTACATTTTCCCCATTCCTGAAAAATTCTGCTGAAGCAGTAACTTGATCTGGAATGAGTGTAATCTCATTGGTATTCTAATGTTTGGGGAGTCCCTTGAGTGCTTTTGAGTTCATGAGTCATCCTAAAATAGTCACGATTAAAATAATTTTAAAGGTGCTAATAAAAATAAAATAATAAAGGCAGTGTTAATTAACAATAATCATGTTTTTGCAAATCTTTGTTTTGGGAATAAATAACTCTTCTCTGCAAAATAAGGTTAAGAATTATAGGACACATGTGTCCTTTTTTGATGTTCTTGGGACTGTGACCTTCTCTGTAGAATAGTTCATGATGTTATGTGATATTACCATTCACACAATTCAGTCCTATGAATATCTACTCAGAAATGAGTCCCATTTAGTTTATTGGGATTTAACGTGAAGTATTTACAGGGTTGCAGGCTAAATTACTCTCTTGTACAAAGATGCATAAGCATAAAAAGAGTTTTTTGATTCAGACCAAAGTCCCATCCGTTCTAACTTTCTGTTCACAGTGGCCAAACACCAACCAGTCGGAAGCCCACAAATAGAATGTAAGTATAATCGCACTTTCCCATTCATTCACTTTCCCTCAACCTACTTGGGCAATCTGAGCCTCAGTAGATACTGTTTTTTAATTGTTTCATTAACAGGCAAGAGTGAAACTGGGCAAGGAGGAAGAAATAACATTGAACAGTAGTCCAGCTTGCTTAGATCCATTTCCGTTGCAGTGCAGTATGCTCCCCATTATCCCCAACCTTACAGTGGTAGTATTATAAGGGTTCTAGATGTAAATTTCGGTATGAGAAAATTATTTACATGTGACTGAGCATGGGTTATACAGCCTGTTAGCTGTCATCAGGAGATGCAATTCATATGGCTTTAGTTAAATTAGCAATGGAGGAGTATGAAAACAAATTATTTAATATGATAAGCACATCATTGCTTTGGAATCTGTAGCATGACCTTGAACAATAGCTGGAAGATGCATATGTAACTGTTGTAGATAAGTTTATTAAGCTTGATTTTGATTCTTGTAAATGTCTGCTTTTATTTAGAACTATAGAGTCCTTTGGCATTTAGTGGTACAAAAAATGTTGGATCGAAAAACATTAAGATAAAAAAGAGCATGCTGTTCCAAAGCTGCTATAAATGGTTTTACAGAAACAAAAATGACTTAAATTGGTAAAGACATTAACTTCTAGTACATTAAGAAGCAATAGCATTTATAAATTAGTAGCAAAGTATTACTTATTATGATGAGAAGAGGGTGTGTGTAGATTTTAAGGACTGTGTATTGCAGAAAGCTTTGGTTTCCTGGGAACCCTTTTAGTGATTTATGGGGTGTGGGACAGGGATGGGAGTAAAATCAAGAATTCATCATTGGGATTGGTGGGCGGGTTTTGCTTCCATGGCAGTATTTGACTATAAATGTCATGTCCTAGTCTTTGCATCTCAAGCAGTACTTTCTAGCCAATGATAATGAGTTAGCTTCCAAGTACTTCATCTTTTTTCCATATGTACACTGACATAAACAGCATGTCAAAAAAACTTGGGGGGGATATAAGATTTTGGAAGTAATAACCAGAGTAAGAAGAAAATGATGTAGGTAAGAAAACACCAGGTATGGAACATAACTTACCTGTTGGTGACTTGACCATATCCTCTCATTTGTGGTCATTAGCAAATTGCTCTTTACTCTGAACTTGTGGAATGTTTTGTATTATAATCCCAGGTATGGAAATATCTGGTAGCAATACCATTGGAAGCCTCATAGTTTAATTTAGGACATTCCAAACAAAATGTGGCAGAAAACATAAGTTTGTAGTGAAAATGCTGTCTTTTCTAGCCCTGTGCTGTCTATTATCTTGGCAGCAGCTCCCACGTTCTTACCAGTGGATTTCCCTGAAATCCTCCAGCTGCGGATGGCAAGGTTTAAGCTTGTTCTTTATAGATGCATTCTTCCTTTCAGCAGGTCTCCACAAACAGATGTGAAGTGCCATCACCCCATTCTTTCTGGTGACACTCCACCTATTTGAGGCTCAGCCTTCCCTTCCTTTTCTTCCAGGTTCCCAAGTAACTGAACAAAGAAGATTAAGGAGATGTTTTCCACTTTGCACTAGCATGTCAAGCAGCTTAGGCAGGCCTCGGAGGGAGAATTGAAGGCACCAGCTAAGTCAACATCTGTGGATTTCTGCCACTGAAAAATGATTTCAGCATTTTGATTACTGTGGATGATTAAGTAAAACCAAGAAAATAAACTATCACTGAATCCAGGTAGTTTAGTTGTTGCAAAATATTAAAAAATCAGTTTAAATAGTTTATTTTAAAAAAGCAAACAACGTCTCTAACTTATGAGCTGAAATAGCTCACTTTTAAGTATAAAGTCTGGAATTTTGTAGTCTTTCCTTAGGGAAGATCCTCCTAATTGACAGACAGCCTTCAACAAGAACTGCACCAAGGGGAGATAGGAAAGACTTTCAGCTTCTAACTTTAGTGACACCACTTCAACTTTACATAAGTGTTTCTCATTTGCAGAAGAGTGGCATCATGGTTCTTGGCTATGGTCTGACTCCAGAACCTGAGGAGAAGGTGAGAGAAGAGTATTTCTGAAGAGAGAAACACTCTTCCTGGGCTTGGCTTGTCCCCTTGCCATCCAGAATGGAATAGCAGCCTGCACTGCTGCATATATTGTCACCTTCTGGTCAGGAGTTAAGACAAAGGAGCACTGTGCTGCCCACACAATTACCTTTTCACGGCACAAGCCCTTTCTTCCTCACCTTCTGGCTGGAAGTGTTTGGGAGGGAGGCCCCTCAGGTCCCAGCCTTAGGACCAGTCATCCAGTGTCTGCAGTCACAGGCATGCTTCAGCTTCCACATGGCTCAGGAAGGGGCCACCCTGGTTCACTGGTTTGCAGCAGCCATAGAGTGGTACGCAGCAGCAGCAACTGGAAACCTTGGTTGCCCAAGAGAGCAGGGAAGTAGCAACCCCAATGGATTCCATTAGGACTGTTAGCTGCAGGATTGTGATAGATGTTGCTGCTCTCTCCTATGCAGTGCCTCAGAAAGGCAGAAGCTGTTCTCATCATTACCTCTCCTGCCCCCTTTCCCACTTAGGAATTTGGAAGGAGCCAGACAACGGTACTGAGACCTGGGAAATTTGGTGAAAACAAAACAAAAAACAGGACTATTGATGAGGGTTACTCTTTGAAGGAGTGGTAAGGAGCAGCAATTCCTTGTTCTGATTATGATGCCTTTTGGAATTTAACCAGCTGAATGGACAACTACTACTGAAGAAAGGGCCTTTTTTATTTTAATTGAGAAACAGGACAATTCAGGAACTTCAAGACTTTCTGTGCTTTAAACTTAATCTAGGCTTGGCATAGAAATTTGTTGTATGGCATTTACTGGGCAGTAAGAGAAATTTTATGCCCTTTTCTCAAGGAAGTAGTGTTTGACAAGCCCAGAGCTGTTCCTGAGGAAACAAGGTTGACAGGATTTGGGGGTAAAATGAATCACTGACACCACTCCGCCTTTCCAACCTCCCCCATCATGGCTACTATTACCAGTACCACCACCAGAAACAAGTGAGGAACTGATTTTGTACAATGTGGCAGATTGCTAGTAGCAATCTGTAGCAAGTTGAGCCTGACAATTTCTACAAAGGCATATGTAATTTGGCAGATTTTTTCTTCTTTGTTTTTTAAACTGGCCATCCCTACTTGATCATAGGACATTCAGGTGCCCTTGAGAAAATTATTGTGCTTCAGTCTTAATTATTCAGTGAGTTGCAAGGTTATGAATATGTCTAATACTTTAATTGACTATTTGTTCTTGAAGTGGACATTTCAAATGCTGTGCTTATTGGGCATGGATTCCCCATGGCTGCAAATGAGAAATACAGACGAGTAAACATTTCCCTTAAGAGCCTGCACATGGATACCTGGGGGAAATTCTACCGAACTCAACTGGATTTATTTCTGAGCAGATGTACACAGGATTACAATGTTAAGAACTGTATCACTAGTATTTTCTTGGTTGTCTCTTATTTTATTCCTTTTTTGCCATGACTGTTCTGGACAATAAGTTACAGTGTTTCTGAAAACAGGACAGAAGGTGCTTCCCATTGTAAGAAATCTGACCATTTATCTATTTGTACCCACATCAGTATGTTTCTTCTTCCCTTTTTGAAGAAAAGAGAGATTGATGAAATCCTTCAGAAACTTGATGTGATGATTCCCAGCCTCAAGATGAGAACTCTTCAGCACTTTGCACAGGAGTAACTTCAGTCAGAAGTTGAATAGTGGGAATATAAAACTACCTCCAGGGTTTGCAGTTGCCAAACTATGAAGGCAGCTTGGCTTTATTTCCAACATGTAGGTTTCTGCCCCAACACTAGCAGATCATCTTAGTGTTCTTCTGGACTTTAAAACAAGCCCCAACAGAACTGGGACTTGCCAACCAGGTCCCAAAGGCACTCAATGGTCGATTAGCGGGATGGCACTATTCAGCCCTTTTAAGCCCAGTGAATAATCACTAGGTAGTCTATTTCCTCCTCATTAAAGGCCATGGGAAGGTATAGCTTTAAAAAAAGAAAATCCCAGAAAGAAAGGAAAAATGCAGTCCCCTCCATCTTTCTCTTTGTAGCATGAGCTGCCAAGATGGTAGGGAAAGTTCCTCCACTTTGATTTTTCCCTCCTCCACTTAATTGCTCTGCTAAAGACACAAGGATGAGTACAAGAAATACTTGAACAGGAGGCTGAAACATTCATTTTTTTTAGTCTGCAAATATAAAATCTAACAGTCATAGAAAAAGGATGCAAGAGGCTGGAAAACTGGATTGTGTTACTTATATAAATTTCAGACTGAAGAAACAAGCATCTTATCCAATTTCATACGAATAGTACAGCACAGAAAAATATCAATATGTAGTTCGTTAGCTAGTTTGTTTACAACAAATGTTTATGACTGATCTTGAAGATCGCTCAGATTATGAAATTAGGTCACATGAAACAGAACTAAGAAATGTTCTGCACAAAAAATTTGGTTCCATATGTTGTAAGAGTCAAAACAATTTTTATATGAGAACAACCATCTTGACTGCAGTTCAACAACAGGGATGTCAGTATTTCCCCCCTTACTACTGATAAAACAACGAATTAGACAGTAACAAACACATAATGTATTGACATCCTTCTGCAATTTATTTTCCAACACCAATTTGACTGTTGTACTAAGTACTGGCTAGCTAAAAGCTGCATTATGAGAAAATAATTTTGAGTATACTGAGCAAAGTCTTCAAAGTACAAAGCGCAATATTGGCTAAGAGTATTAGTTAAGGAAAAAAATCAGTACCACGATTGTAGTATTTTTCACAAGCTATTTTTGCCAGTATTTTTGGGAAGAAAAGCACCTTTAGTGAGTAAGGTAAGATGAAAATGTCAGTCTGTTTTTCCCACTCCTCATGCCACCAAAGTCACAGCTGGCACTGAAAGGACAGGAGGATCTGTGGAGGTCTCTATACTTGGAGGACATAAATTGCATGGAGAAACCTTTGTAATATTGCTGCACAAGGGTCTGGGCTCTGTGGGGCCCGGCATGGGATGCTTTCGTCGTGTTTTCTCTGGGTATGTTAGATTTTCCGTGCCTTTTGCAAGGGGAGATTGCTCCTGCATTTTAATAATGCCTTTATTTTTTGGCCTAAAGCTATTGTGATGCTGCCTTCTGTATTCTTGTCGGGAGTTAACCTTCAAGTTGTTCTGCTCTGAGTCACTACCACCACTTTGTGACTTGAGAGAGCCATTGATTCGAATACCGTGATACTGCATATGAAATCTTCGTCTTTGACTAGAAGACCCACTCTGTCAAGGGGCAAAAGTATGATAGTTAATGTGGTTGCATCTTTCAACTGGTTATTATTAAACTCTAAGCAGAATAATTCATGCTACATGCTACATATACCTATTATATACATTATTCTCAAGGCCAGTAGTACCACTAATAACTCCATGTCTTTTGTGGCCTCTGCCAGTAGGCAGTATAAAGCCCCACAAATTACATGAAGCTTGCCTAATGGGATTGTAGAAAAGGCAACAGGATTAAAAGCCTAGCTAACTGCAAGTTGCTTCAATGGCAACCAACTGTAGCATGCATTCCTCTGACACTGAGACAATATTGCCAAGTAGAGACTATTGGGGGTGCTTCAGCTGGGAAATTAGGAGGCCCGGGTGTTTTGACATGAGATTCCAGTAAGTGATCCCAATACTTTGATGAATCAATATAGTCGCATGGTATGATAGGGTCTTTCTATCACAGTTCTCTCCAACTGTAGAGTGTTTCAGGAGGTGATCAACCCCAAACATGCCAGATGGGGAAAGCTAGTAATGGTTATGGGACTTGCCTTGCTCTCCCCTATTCACTGTCTCTCAGGCTGGAAAATTACATCTGACACCCAATTAACCTAGAAAGGCATTTTAATTTTTGTTTGCAAGCAAAAGATTTCCAGCTCGATAGTTTCCACTTGCATCGGTCAACCAATAACACAGATAAGGAAGCTTCACTGTGGCTGTAAAGATGCACAGTTTCGTTAACCTAAAGTTCAGAGGGGTGACATTTGCCCTTCCTAATTCAATGGAACACTTGTAAGCAAAAATGTTTAGGATTTTGGACATACTGAATCAGTATCTTCTCCTGTTGGACTACCTGCCCTGTCCCCAGCAATGGACTTCAACTCCACTGTGGCAGGTGTGCGAGAGAAGTTGGGAAAGAAGACATAAGCGCCTGCTCCAGTGGGTTTTTTCCCCTCTGCCTCATACCCACCACAAAGGGCCATCTATCATTAGCTGCCTTATAGAGAGGTACAGGACAGTGAGGGAGGTGGAAAGGTAGCACCGGACTCCTGTTCCAGCTGCCCTGCCTCCCTTCCTCTAGGGCAGCTGGAAGGATCCCAGAGACTTGCTATGTTTCAGTACTGTGATCTTATAACTCTATTTTTTGTTTTGCTTGCAAGCCACCTTGTGGGTGTTTCTCTTCTTAATTATAGTAACTGGTAATCTTAGATTACACAGCTTTTCTTTTGAAATAATCTAAAACAAGTCACATTACTCTCAATAGGTGGTGGTCTGCAGGAATGACTTGACAGTTTTTCTACCCAGTGCAGAATTCTTAATGTAAAAATAGAAAGTAGCTTGAGATTACTAGTTCTGTGATTCCCAGGAAGACTAAAAACTGTGGATGGGAAAATACAGACAAGGCTTTGAAAGACATACCTTTAACAAGTTCAAGTTGCAATCCTATGTACCATCTGAGAGTAAAACTTATCAAACACAGTGGGACTTATTTCTGTACAAACGTATCTGATTGTACTGTCCATAAACTGGGAAGAAAGTCCAATGGGAAAAATTTAAAGGAGAAAGAAGCCCAGAGTGGGTGTTTTCTCTTAGAAATGTAAGGATCATGGTTTCACCAAATTGATCTAGGGTTCTGGTGGGATATCCATTATTAGAAGCCTTTAAGAACAATACAAAAGACCATTTAATTTTGTTTGATTTCATTCTTCAGGTAGGAGGATTAACCTAAGGTCTGTGCATAACCTAAGGTTATGCACAGCAGACATTAACAAGACCTGAGGCTGTTCAAGAGAGTAGTCTTTTTGTAAGGACAGATTTGTAAGTGGTGGCAGATAAGGCCTGATGAACCATCAAGTCCATTGTAGGTATCTGTTTCTATAACTTTACTTATGTAATTGTGAATTTGAAATTTTGCATGCTGGCTTTCAGTTGCCTCATGAGTCACTCTTCTTCTCGGGACCTTACCTGTTTGTTTGTTGAAATTATCTGAGGAGAGGATTCTGTGGTGCTGGCAGTATCTTGGTTTGAGTTTTTAGCCATTGCTGCTTTACCATCGGGTGTCTTGGCACGAGTCCGACTAGATTTTTGGATATATGTGCTTTGTATGCTGGTTGCTGTGTGCAAAGCTGCTGATTGAAGCAGAGTGCTGGATGGTGTTCTTGAGGAGTAATTATTCTTTGGGTGAGAAACTACAAGGAAAAATATGCTCAGACCTAACATTACATCCTAAGATATATTGGAACTGGCTTCCAGAATGGCTTCAGTTTAACCCAAGGCATAAGATTGTTCATTATAGTAGTGAAAACGGGCCTATCAACTGCCCCAAAAGTCTATTTGGGTTTCTTGCCTATGCATCCTGGATGGACAGAAACTGCAAACACGACATCCTTACTAGCTGTCAACATGCTCCTGGTTCATTTCAGGACAAAACCATATTATCAAAGACATGAAACTACTGCTGATTCATCCCTCTTTCCTTTCTCTTCCTGATTAAACACTACTATATCATGCCGTATCTATCTATCTATCTATTCTAGAGAGAGTGAGTGTATTTCTCTGTGTGTGCATGCATGTATTTGCAGTATGCAGACTACTGTAAAGTTTTGTAATGTAAAGTTTTGGTTGGGCTAATAATATCAGTCCAACTATCCCAGTACTGCCTATTCTAACTAGCAGAGTCTCCAGATTCTTTGACAATAGCCACTCCCATCTACTGCTATCTGATTTTTTTAAAGCTGGCGATGCCGGGGCCTGAACTTGAGACGATCCACCAGTGAGCTGTGGCTCTTGCCCTGCCTAGCAGTGAAATAAGTGCACAATGTGCCATGCTGTGTTTATACTAGGCGTTAGAAAGGAGGAAGAACAGGCATTCTATACCAATCAAATGAGACCATATCAAAGCCCTAACAAACTTTTTAGAAGATGACTGTGCCTAAGAAATGTCTATGCACTTAATACACAGCTTCTTGGGCATGCTAAAATATACAATGATCGCCTTCCACCAATGGAAGGAATCCTACTTGCAAAAGGGTTGAGCCTTCAAATAACGGGGGGGGGGGGTTGCTAGTTCTCCCTGCAAATCCAGCTCTACCATGCATATTATTCTGGTGGGTTCCCCAAGCATCAGGGGCAGATTTGGGGGAGCTGTTTGTAAATGCAGTATACATATTTAATAAAAAAAATGAACCCCCCACACACAGTTAAAATGTAAGAAAAATCCTACAAAGCATATGCTACTGGATTGTCATATCTTGGAATGCTTCCAAATCAGTAAAAATAAATTTCATGTAAAGTTTTGAATTTGTTGCGTATAACATTTAAGTGAACTTACCAAATAATTTTGGCTATTGGAAACATGGTTAGGATATTTATATGGAATTATATTTATAAAATTAACACGGTATATTTAAGTTTTATTTACAAAATATCAATCAAACTTACTGGATCAGGTTCAGAGCATTGGAAAAAAAAATTCTGGAAAACCCTACACTTGGGGTAGTCACCCTACACAATTCTGGTTGTGACTAATGTCTGCTTGCCTTTGGACTTAAATTTTACCACAGCTTTTTAAGTTGATTTCTAGATGAACACAGGGCTTAAATAGAGGCACAAACACCTCATTACTTTTGGGTATTCATGCTTGGGGTTTACTGGTCTCTACAGTGTGCATACTGCACCAAAAGGATAACAACTAGGGTTCTTCTATCATATTTTTAAAGTCCTTGGTCAGTAACTTTTACTGATGAGTCATTCGCAATGGAGACTGGAAGCCACATATTCTGCCCCGCTAAATGACCTGCACTCAAGGCCAGAAGTCTTGCAATCAATCCTTTATGTTGTCCAGAAGTTGGGGTGGTTGTGTGAAATGAGTGGAGTGTGACTGCGCAACAACGTCAACCCTTTGCTTATTTCCCCCACTCCATTTCAATTCCATTTCCCACCTCAATTCCCAAAAGGCAGGGCGTTCTAGTCAACCAACAAGCAACATGATCATGGTTCTCCCACAACTTAATAGAAGCTTAACTGAAACTTACTTTCTCCACATTGCAGAATCTGAGTCTTCAGCTGTTCAATGTCACAGGAGAAACGGGCAGATCTACCAAGTTCTTCGTCATATTTCCGTTCGCTTACAAAGTGCTGCAATGGGGGGGTATTTTATTATAAATTGTCGTATGTGATAAACTAAAACCTTTCACAAAATTAGTATAATGCCTCATTTGTTGAAAACATTTTTTTGTGCGGGGAGGAGCACACTTCAGGCTTTGAGCCTTTAGGAACATTTATCCTTTGAGAAATCTGCCCACAGCTACCGAGTCAGCACCAATAATGCAGTATTTTTTCATCATGCATAATTGTGTGGGTGTGGGCGGGGGAGGCAGTGGATCTGGAGTACAAACATTAAAAAAAACCTTAAAAATAATATCCAAATGCTGGTGCATATATTTTGGCACATATATAGTTCAGAGAACTCTTGGTGCAAATTGCAAGAAGTGTTTGAATTTTGCTTTCCCTTTTGCTAAGTCAGCGGAGATGTCCAATTAATTTTGAAAGTTCAGTCCTGATTTTTGATGCTGAAATCTTGACTGTTTGGTCTGTCTGTTTCTTTTTAGAGAGGTAAACCATTCCTCAAATTGAAGTGGCCTGTAAAACCAACCTTAATTTCAGCCCGTAGGTCAGCCAGCTGGGTCTCTGCCATCTGACTAGCTAAATCTGTCAACCTCTTCAATTCTTCAGCTTTTTTCTGACGAGCAGTTAAGATTTCCACTGCCAAACAAAAGGAAATAATGCCAAAACATTTTTAATGCAAGTTTGAGGCACAATTCTATGCAAGCTTAGCCCGAAGTTGGCTTACAACTCCCAACATGCCGTTGTAGGCTTTTATGCTTTCAAAATTTGCTCAAGATTGTGCTCCTAACATTTTATCTTGTGTATTTTGTATCAGTGAGAGAAAGAGGCACCTAAAGCAATGAATTAACAAACCATTCTCTAGTGGAGCCACAAATCTCATCTCCCCACTCCATGTAGTATCTAGTACAATTTCTTGTCCTTTCATTTTTCTGCCCACATTCCACAGCTGTTGTGGGAGCTGGAAAACATGGACTGCCATGCTGTCAGGATACTGAAGTTGTACTACATCTTAGGAGAGGGTGGAACTAAACATGTGGCTGTTTTGGTGGCAGCCACATATTTTATCACAACATCTAAGCTGGCCCAGAGTTGGTGGGCTTATTTGAACTTTGGCCCTTCAAAATTTCTGTCCCAAAATGAACAGCTGTCTTGAGTATAGTCAGAGGCAGATGATATGCCCGATTATTATTATTACTTTGTCCACAATATTTATTTTGGAATGTTTGGTTAATTGATTGCCTTTTTTTAAAAAGTCGTTCTTTCTTCTGGCCAATGTCTGAATGAAATCTAAACTACCACAAGAAATGATGTACAAGACACAAAACTTTAAGGCTCCTGCAATACGCAGCAAAGGCAGCAGAAACAATTCTGTGCTAAGAAAGGCTAGACCTACAACCTATGTAAAGTATGGGCTGCATTCAGTGCTGTGCAAGCAATCTTGCCCTCCTTCCCTACTGCAACCTCTGCAGCCTTTCAAAGGCTCTTGAAAGATGCCTGGTGTGTGGTAGGAGGGCGGCATCATCCCACACCTGCTCATGTAGCGGTGGATAAAACCATACGCAAATTATACAGCTTTGTCAGAATGCTTTCTGTAAACACAGGTGTAGAGGACTGGGGCCCTGGGCTCTAGAAATCCTATGAACACTCCTTTTCATCTCCCCCTGCTCCTTCTCTGGATTGTAAAATTTAACTAGCCTTCATCATATCCCTGAAGCTTTTTCTCACTGCTAGAATCATTTTTTTTCTTTTAAAAAAATAACGCAATAGGTGGAAAACTGCAACTTTCGAATGCACAGTAGCCCTATTATTCTCACAGTGGGAAAGTCTGAACCTTGAAATTATCTCCCTTTGCGGGAGTGGCAGGAGAGTGCGGGTTGTGTTGAAAAGGAGGAGGGCATTGTGGAGTGCCAGCTCAACATTTAAAAGCAACAAGATAGCATTGCCAAGGGAAAGATGCTGCCCCATTACTACTTCTGATTCAGCTACTTTTGCTGCTCTCCATCCCTTTTTGATTTTTCTGTTGGCCACTTAGCCATTGGACCCTGGCAACTGTGCACAAATTCGCTTATCTGCTGCCACCTCACCTTCCCAGTTTCCATGTATATTATCTGTTCCATTTCCCTGCTCCCGTTGAGAACTGAAACATTCAATATAGTGGACCAGGATGGGCTACACATATCAGGTAGCTGAAGTCCACATTTGTAAAAGACCAACAAAAGTGATAAAATCTATGCATTCCCATGATGGTTTGTTGCTAAAAAGGAAGAGACCCTGTGAGAAGCAGCCTGGCATTGGATGACACCACAACTCACCATTGTTAGTAAACCTCAACGATTGTCATTTCATGCAAGTCAGATCACTGTCTATTAATTTCAGGTGGGGAAAACCTGGTAGAAAACAAAGTCTCAAACTTTTCCACAGTCCATATGCATTCAAGGCAGAATATGAAGTACTGCTTCTGAGCAGATGAACTCTCATTTTCATGTGCAAAGAAGCAGCCACAAAACAACCCTTTCTAGTTGCTTCAAAGCACACAATATTCTTTGGAGTGGTTTATACTTACTGGCTTCTTCTTTAACTTTGTCAAGTTCTGCCATTAAAGCCACTTCTTTGTCTATGATACTGAAAATTGAAAACAAACTGATTTAGCTGAAGACCAGAAAAACATGAATTTTTAAATGGAAAAACTTGGAAGAATATTTAGATATTTTTTTCTAGAATGCGATAAAAGTAGGAGCAAATTTAAAAACACATTGCCATGTTTGGACACTGTCAGATACATCATTCCTTTATTAAAATCAGGCCTGTGTACTTCTTTGTTACATGCTATCAAGTTGTCTCTGACTTAGGGTGATTGTACAACTGAATCCTCTCCAACCTGTCCTGTCCTTGACAGCCTTGCCCTGCTCAAGGCTGTGGCTTCCTTTAGGGAATCACTCCATCTCCTATCTGGTCTGATCATCATCTTCTGCCTTCAACTTATCCTAGCATTATTGTCTCCTCCAGTGAGTTCTGCCTTCTGTTTTCTTATATACTCCCAAGTTAGGATGGAGAGATACAAAAAGATAGGCTTCTTGTGGCCCTTTAACAGTCATGTAGATGCAGCTTTTTTCATTTCTGTGCCAAGCTACACCCTGTTCCAAATCCTATATAGCTATCAATCAGAACCCAGGCAACTGTAATGAATACTCCATTCACCTTTCTTCATTCCCAGCATCTCTTGGTTTAAGGTAACTATGGTTTTTAGAGGGGGGAATCCAAAGAAATTTCTCCTAAGTATTATCCCATTTATTTTCCATTATTCACAGGTATACATTTACAGAAACACTGTCTGGCCACTGATAACAGTGTTGTGCCTGCATATATAATTCTTTCCTTATTGTATTAATTAAATTTGATTTTTTGTAAGTTCAATTTTCTGATGACATCAACTTGGCACCCTCCAGTTATTTTAGACTACATTTCCCAGGATTCCTGACCACTGGCTATGCTGGCTGAGGTTGAATGAAATACCATACTGTGGAAAGTTGGATTACACTAATTGGAACGCTGGTATGTCAAAAATAGCCATTGCATCAAATTTCTATAAAGGCTGAATTGCTTAGTATTCATTCCTGTGGTGTTGACAAAATGGTACCAGATCCACATTAATGTCAAAGTGTGATTGAATTGTCTGGCTTGGATCCAGATTTAGGTTTCTGTTGCTGGGCTGGTAGAAGTGGATTTTCCCATCCCTTATCCCCTAAACAGAAAGGTACAGCTTTCAAAAGAGGATGCAAGAGAATGTCTCCTGATTTGAGAAGATTTATGGGAAGCTGCAGGTTTCTTGCCATATGTTAACATAGTCTGTTTGCTACACATCAAAATGCCCAGCAAATCCCCCGTGAGCTTAGCGGGGCTTGCTAGGAGAAGCTATCAAGATGGCTATGCTGATGTTCACTGAAAAATAACTGTGGAATACCCAGGAAAGTATCAAGTCTCTGCAGGATCATGCAAATGCCTGAATGACACACAAGGGGAAAGCCATCCTGAGATGCCGAGGCATGTGATGATGGGATATAAAAGTTTTAAATAAATAAATATCCGAGGCACAAAAGAAGAGGTCTCAGTGGCTACTGAGAATAGTTACATTAAACAGCTCTGGTCCCAAATGATTTTGACAGAATGTCTTCCTCAGCAGCAGTTCTTTAGAATTTTTTAATACTCTCTCCAAAAAGAGCAGCTGATACTGCTCTGGTTCTGGCAATGCTTTTATGCACTGGAACTTCGTGTTTAATTGAATTATTTACTGCACCCATCTGTTTTGTACTTTAGAAGTGTTTGATTTAGCAAAGCAGCTTCAGAAACAACTTATATATACTATGAATTTCCCAGCAGATGGCAGTCTATGTGTGGTCTCTGTGGTTCAGAATGATGATGATCTATCTCAGGACAATCCCCTAAAATTCAGGCTTGGCAGCTGGGTTCTGTTTCCAGTCCGCCTACACCCACATGCTGTTTGTCTCTGATGAATGCTTGTGACCCGGCCAGGAATGCCCCCACTCCTGATACCCTCCCCCCACCTTCTCTGAGTACAGAATGGGTGTATTGCCAACACGTTACTGCGTTAGTGGCCGCTTGCTGTTTACCTCAACACACTTCCAGATTAAGAAATATTTAGTGACTTTACTTTGTAATTTAGAACTCATGGGATGGAGATTTCTCCTGGCCTGCAGGTACACATTTGGAGGGAGGGAGGTTTGCACACATGCGTGTTTGTGTGTGTGGGGGGGTTAATATTAGGTAACAAGAAGCCAGAGGACAAGTCGGTGGGAGCACTGTGCCTTGGGATGGGAAGGCACTCCAAATCACACTTGCTCAGCCATGGTGCATGCAGTGCCATGCAGATCACCAGCCTGGGCTGAGATCATCGTTCTTGGGATTTGGGGGATCTGCAGGGGAGATGATGGGCTGAATGCGTTTTCTTTCCTCTGTTCCTTTCAGTGAAATCCTTCCTACTCATGTAGGAAATATAATCAAACATTTTGTAGACATCTAGGGGGCAATCTCTTTCTATTATTATTATTGGAAGTATTCTATTAGTAATTGCTATGTTAACCATGTAGATCAACTGTGAGATACTCTGATGCTACCACTGTCTACACCTTTAAGTTGCCTTTTTACAACGTGACATATAGAGAACTGTAAAGCACTGCTGTCCACTTCCTACACTCTGTAGGAAAGCCCCCTTGGGGAGGGCGCATTGCTTCACACTGGTCTCAGCGCCGACAGCTGCAAGGACCTGCCTGGCGGGCTAAACACTTAACCTGCATTGCTACTCCGTTGCAGCTGGCGATGTACACTACAACGTAAGTACTCCTCTTGCTCTCTCCTCACACTACCGGGGTTGTTTCGATCAGCATGTGGCACCCAATTTTCATCCATCATTCCCCACTAGCCATGTAACTCTGCCTCTTTGTTGTTGTTGCTAGTCACAAAGTTGTGTCCGACCCATCACGACCCCAAGGACAACATTCCCCCAGGCCTTCCTGTCCTCCACCACCCCCGGAGTCCACTCTGCCTCTAGACAGGGCTTAATAAGAACACCATTACACAAGTTGTGTTAGAGTAGGGACCCAGTCCCCCTAGAAAAATTGTTAATGTAATATGGGGGAAAGAAAGACAAGCAGGGGATCCTTGGGTTTGTCCCAAAGGAAGAGGATACATCCTCTTCATGTAATGTGGTTAGAGGAGATCTGAGTTCTAGTTCCCACTCAGCTTATTGGGTGACCTTGGGCCAGTGACTCACTTTCAGCCAAACCTGCCTTAGAGGAGGATCAGGTAAGTCATCTTAAGTTCCTTGCAAGAAGAAAAAGGGTAGGGTAGAAATGTAATATTGAATTAACATAACACAACAGTTTCCTGTCTTACACCTCCCAATACCTTTGTCTTACTGATTTATTGACTGACAATTATGGATGTTAGAGAAATTCACAATGGTTTCAAATTGTTTGAATTTCTGTGAATCTGACCTGCAGATTCTGAAGCAGACCAGCTTTATTTAAGTCATGGGGACTTGTAGCGTGGGTCTTTTTTATATATATTTATATTGACAGGAGAGCTGCACGAATGTGCATTTCTGCATGTGCATGTTTGCAAACAAAATCCTTGTACATTGCTTAAAAAATAGCCAATTGCATCATTTGCCGAAATGAAATGCTGGCTTCATTTCCAATAATACTTCTGGATCCCATGTGGGCCTGAGATATCCTTTGAAAATAAAAACTGTACATGTCTGTATTCCAGCATGTTCAGGTACCCAGAAAAAATACCATGGACAGAGAAAGGGAGCAAGCTGGGGTGGGTTGGTGGAGAGTGAAGAGGGCATTCTGTCATGTGTGCATGTTAGCTTTTTCTGCGTGCTTTGCTGCAGATAAATAATGAAGATGGGTGGCTTGGTTGTGTATGTGAATTTCGTTCTCTCAGCACACCAGTTTGCTGGATCCTACCAGCTGTGTTTCTGAACAGTTTTGAAAAGCAGTTCCACCTACTGTGTTGCAATAATCTAGTCATGAGGTTACCAGGACATGGATCACTGCAGCCAATCTATCTCTGTACAGGAGGGGATGTAGTTGAAGCAAAGGTCAAACAGGTGAAAAATATTCAGGCTATTTGAGCATCTGTTCCAAAGCTGTTTATGAGCACTCCCAAACTCCTCATCTGATATTTTAGAGGTAGTATTGCTCTATCTAAAGCAGAAAAGTGTAAACACTACCGCCAAGAATAGAGAAACCATTAATCAACAGCAGCTTTGTCACTAGCAAGAGTGCATCTTCTTTGTAGTAGGGGATTAAAGGTCCTGCAAGTATCTGTTAACCTTATAGTTTTCTAGAATGGTGGGTCTGGTTTTGAAGCACCTTTGTGGCCTTCTGTGGAAATCTCAGCTTTAGTGCTGAGCTCTGAGGTGGTGTAAACTGGTTCTGTGAATTTGCCACACAATAGCAAAGTCAGGAAGAATCTGCTTTTTATGAATGAATATATTTGTCTTATGATTCACACTTTGAGGCTTTGGAAGTTGAAGGCAGACCTGCCAAATATAAAATGTATGTGGAATGGCTGCCCACAGGCAGCCGTGATATGTTTGGCAGGGGGAACAGTCTCTCAGCATGAAAACAAGCTAGACAAGATCCAGGTTGAGCATGGCGTTTGCTAATTTGGGCTGACTTGAGGCTATTCTGAAAAGGGCAAAAGCTGCCTGTCCCCTCCATAGGGAGAACCTGACCTACAACATGCTTCAGAGTTGCCTGCTCTGAAGGGCTTTGGAAGAAACCACATAAATGGCTTCCTTATTGCTTCAAATCTCTTGTTTTCTATCAGTAAGAATTCTGTTTGCTTGGTTAGGCATTTTCATGGATGGAAACAAACTGGAGTGAGGGAAAAACTGCCCACCTCTTAGCCCTATGAATGTATATTCTAATGGACACTGGGTGTATCTAGGAGGACAGCAGGTTCAACCTCCAGTTAATCATGTATGATGTATTATCAGGATGAACATAGAAGTTCCACAGATTTTAATTAATAACATTTCTGAAATTTGCAAATGATGGTCTTGTAATTTGAAGTTGTACTATTACTAACAGTCC